ATGAAAACAAAATGAAAGGAATTGGTAGTAATGAAACTGAAGTGAATTATTGTCTCAATCTGCAGCTCCCCTTGTCTGTACCGAGCTCCATAATGAATTATAGTTCATTGTAATCACTCTCTCTCTGCAAACTGTTTGAATCTCTTCTTCTTAGCAGAGATGTACATTATTCAGATGCAATTGCAACTGCATTTTCTGTGCTTGGCTGTTTTTAAGTGTTAAGACCGCAAGCTTGCCACAACAAAGAGTGTGTGGAAGGCAGTATGAGTAATGTATGAAAGTGAGTAAGAGCAATGTGAGGCCTCATGTTGGATGTGTGAAATGACAAAGCAAAATGCGCAGGGCTTGGTGCTTTGTGAAGAGAGCAGCATGCAGGCATCTGGGCAAGTGAGAATCTCAGGAACACAGACCAGTTACAGTGGTGATAGCTCAGCTCCACCCTGCAACAAAAACACACCATAGGACTAACACAAAGAGCGCTGAAGTTGTCACATTATTGACATACATGTTTGTCTATTTTTGTTTGTAGCCTCAGAGAGTGATCTGCAGAACAAGCGTCTGAAGTTGGACTATGAGGAAATAACCCCTTGTCTAAAGGAGGTCACTCTGGTGTGGGAGAAAATGCTGGGAACTGCTGGGAGAGCAAAGGTCAAATTTGACACTGAGACCATACATGCTGCAGTTGCACAAGGTACATATTTGGCTCGACAAATACATGTATCAGTGCTTCATGGAAATGTTTGTTCTTTTTAAAATCGACAGGTATTTGCAAATGTTGACCAAAGCTTAATGTATAAAGCTCCCAAACTGAAAATATGTGTTGTAACTTTTCTTGTTATCATCAACCTTAGCCAGTATCCTTTTTCAAAATCGTGCAAAAGGAGCGAGAATGAATTCCATGAAGTGTTTTTATTTCAGTGTTTGTGGTCACAGTGAAATCAGTGTGTATTTCCCCTTAACATTTTTACCCCCAGTGTCCCTCTCTCATCGTCAGGGCTTTTTGTTCTGTACATTTTCTGGTATCAGCATGTTCTGCACGGAGGACAGGAAGGTTATCTTTTATGCCCTCGGCCTTGAACAAAACAGATCTAAAGTCCAAAATGCATATTTACACACAGAAAGGCTGCTACGTAACAAGTAGCAGGGTTAGAAATTGGTGAAGTGGGCTTTAAAGGTCGATGGTCCTTCTTACAGGTGATGAGGAGTAGAATTTACATTACCCTTCTCTCTTTACAACCTCTAATCTGCCCTTGAGCAAGATTCTAGATGAAAATATCCATACCACTGTCATGCCTGTGTTATTTAATGCAGTGCTACATACTGTAGCCACCCATTAGCTGATTAGCTTAGCTTAGCACAGTGACTGAAAATAGGGGGAAACAGCTAGCCTGTCTCCGATCATTCGGTAATACAATCGATCTACCAGCATCTCTCAAGCTCAATAAAAGACATATTGTATCTCTTTTGTTTAAACATATAGAAACACAGTGGAAAACATCAGTTTTCATTTTTACTGTGTATATTTGCTAGGCCACCATTAAAGGCACCAGAAAGTTACAGCACATAGCCAAATGCCACTACCTCCAAATGCCAGATTTGTTATTTTTTTGTAAAAGACTTGTTCCCCTTGGACAGAGCCAGTCAACCGTTTTCTACTAGTTTTTATCAGCTACTGGACTGCAGGATAGTCTTTATATTTATTGTAGCGACATGAAAGTCGTATTGATCATCTCATCTAAATCTCTGCTAAAGAGCAAATAAGCGTATTCCTCAAAATGTTGAACTTCTGATTTGGTTAATAAATAAAGCTTAGAAATTCTGTCTGAGTTTATTGAGAGAAGATTAATTTGATCTAATAAAATATTAACACTGCTACTATAAGAAGTGTACAAGTCAGTAATTGTGTAATGCACAAGACATTAGTTAATGGGATTACACTTATGAAACAGTCAAAATGCAGAATCCTTTTAAACAGGTAAACTATTTCTGGTAAAAGTCCAAAGCACATGCATTTACAATATTTGTCATAACTATGCATCCCCAAGGTTGAAATTTAAAACCTATGTTTAAGAGAAATAATTGTAGAACATTGTAACCCCTTTATAATGTAAAAGTATTGGCTTTAGGCAAAAAAAGAAAACACTCCTTGTCTGACAAAAACTAATTACTGGGCTGGCGTCAGATCTTCAGCTGATTTGCATTTTGGAGACACATTTTTTTATACGTCAAGAATGATGAAAATCAGTTTGAGCCTAGTTGACATCTGTCAGTTTAGCATGTTAGCATGTCATACCACCTTAGCACTGCCTTGAACCACTTCGTCTTTGTCATCTCTGACAGGTGTCCCGAGGCAGCATCGAGGTGAGATCTGGAAGTTTCTCTCCGAACAGTACCTGCTCAGGCAGACGGTCCCATCCCGACCGCCTTCCAATCACACTCCGTACAAAGAGCTGCTGAAACAACTCACCTCGCAGCAACACGCCATCCTCATAGACCTGGGTAACACACACTCCCACACACAGGATAAAAGTGAGATGGATATGGCAGCATATTTCGGATTTTATAGACAAGACATCTGTAGGTCTCGACTGTTTTTAAACATTTATCAGCACCAGGGTATGGAACAGAAAGAATCCTTGAATTTGAACTTTCTGATTGTCTTTGAACTACTCATCTGTCACATAGTGTTCAATCGGGAAACTCCACCAGCCTAAAATCACAATATTGCATCCTGCATGGATGTTTAAAAAAGTGACTTAAAGTAAAGGATTTGCCTTATCCAGGTTCTGTGAAAAACATAAAATTTTGCACTTCTCGGCGCAATCATGAAACCATTAGTGACTCAGCTGCAACCAACAGTACAATGACTAAAATTCAGGGATTTTTTGGTTGAACTTAAGGCAGAGCAGATAAGAGAATAGTATGGAAGCAAATTAAAAATGGACGTACTTTAGTAACACATAGAAAGTACTGCACGTGGCGGTGGCAGGCTTTGTATTGCAGTGACAAATGAGCCCACAGTGACGGTTATTTTTTACATGCTTAATTCATTCATTGTTTTGTTTTTTTAGTGAAAAAATTACATCGCCTGCTGCGTTGCGGCAAAAACGTCTCAAAATGAATTTAGTGAACACATTTTATATTTCTCAAACCTCATTTTAACACTTTTACCCTCAAATGTTTCCAACACCCCCCACCCAAAAACCCACACACATTCACTACCTACACCCCACCCATGTAACACCCACATACATGCATATACACATCCACCCACACCTCCATCCCTGTAGCACTTACCCTCCTATTTTGCAGTCTTTCATCTGCCTGTCATGCTATTCACCCTACTGCAAATAGGGCACTGACAGTGGTAACGGAATGTACAGAAACAGTTTCCTAACATGACCCAATGTAAAGGTGTTCTGTGCTTTATGATAAACATCCTCAGTGTTTTTGATACTGAAAGCGCAGAGAGATATGCAGGTCGAGAATGTAGGTTTCACATAAACAAGCAAAAGGGTGTATCAGGTTTAGGATTTAGGTATGTTAAGTCTAGTACTCCTACATCTTACATGCAGCAGAGCAGAACATACACACACACACACACCTACACACACTTTCCTTCAGGCAGGGGAGGGAGTCATAGCATTATGTTCAGAAACATAAAGCCCCCACAGCACATTCCATGCATACACACTCACACGGTTGTCATTGTCTTCTTCAAAACCTCACATCACACACTGTAAGTCAAGAAGTCCGCGGTCCCAAAACACACAAACCTGCCAATTACCAGTCTGTCCACGTTAAGAATGCTCTTTTACAGATCCCAGTCCTCATTATCTTGTCATTTTTGAAAGGTGCATGTCCCGTCCACCGTTACACGTTAAGCTCCTGAAGCAGGGTGTGCAGTCCTCGCATAATGCTGCATTCATATGTGTATGGATCCATGAACATGTTTGTAAGCATGTTGGCTTGGAATGGGTTGGCACATGCTCATGCAGTGAGCTCCCTATTAGCATCCACAGCAAAGTGTGAAGTCTAGCATCCTAAGGCAAAGTTCAGCAGCATATGTGCGTCGTTGAAACACGTGTACACAACCAAAGGCTTCGAAGTCTCTTGTGGATCCTTTTAGTTCATGCACATTCTTTCGACAAGTATGTCAGACAAAATCAAGTAAATCCATGCCATTAGAACTGTGATTTGGGTGTTAGAGGTATGGCTTTTTGATTTCACACACATAGATACCCTGTCTTCCATCGTATTTAATGCTAAATATAAACAGTGCTTATATTTTGCAATAGATGGATCATGTCTTGCTCTTTTCTTCTGTTCCAGGTCGCACATTTCCCACTCATCCATACTTCCAGGCCCAGCTGGGGGCTGGACAGCTGTCCCTGTATAATATACTGAAAGCTTACTCACTGCTTGACCCCGAGGTATCATTTAGTTCCTTTGTGCCTCACTTCTGGCTTTCCTCTCTTTCATTTTGCATGCTTCTCCCTCTTCACTCAATGGAATGCACTGCCCAGCTGTCTATTAGGCTTAAACATTTCCCCCCTTCCCTGTCTTGTAGACATCAAGTTTATCATTGTTGTTGTTGTAGGTGGGTTACTGCCAGGGACTGTCCTTCATTGCTGGAGTGCTGCTTTTGCACATGGGGGAGGAGGACGCCTTCAACATGCTCAAATTTCTAATGTATGATGTAGGCCTCCGCAAACAGTACAGGCCTGATATGATTATCCTGCAGGTAAAAAGCACTCATACACGCACACGCACACACACACACACACACACAGACACACACACACACACAGACACACAAGACACTGTCTTTGTCATGTTTGTCCCTCATGCTTAGTTCCCATTTACAGAATCTGTCATCGTTTGGGGGCATTATTGTAGCAAAACTATTTGTCCATGCGTATGGAGAGTTGTCTGTCTGTACCTCAATCCGTTCGTCCGAAGTGAGATTTGTCAGTGTGCAAATCAAGTTGTCATTGCGAACCGGAATCTACAAAAGTCATCTTACAATTTGTCTGTCTGTAATCAGGTTTTCAAATGTGTAAAAAATCTGCTTATCTGTATTAAAATTCGGACATGTATTAAGAGTTGTCAATGCGTACAAAGGTATTTGTAGTTGAAAAGTCTATGTATTCGAGTCGAGTGGCTTCACCATTGGCTGTCTTTTCATACATGACTTTTGCTACACTTCTACCGTGAGAGATCTGAAACTGATAAGTATCTGAAAATCATGGTTTATGTGTCCTGAGCTCAGGCTCACAGGGTCGATCATTGTGGCTGCTACCAGGGTGTCCCCTGCTTTCACCCTAAGTCAGCTTAGATAGGCTCCAGGCCCCTGCAACCCTAGTGAGGATTAAGTGGTGTATAGATAATGGATGGACGGATGGATGTTTGGTTGGCATTGGAATATAATTGGATCAATACTCCTTAATGGTACTCTCCCAGCCGATACATACGGCACAGGGTTTGATTTCTTTTTTCCCTTTTGTTTCACCTTTCAATAGAATTACAGCAGCAGTAGATGGATTTGCTGTACTTGACTGAGATATGTCATCGTTGAAGTCTAAACCTCGAACTTGTTGTGTTGATATTCATTGACTTTGTGGTCGAGCACAACGATGTGAAGTTTCTCAACTGAAAAGGAGACTTGCATTTATAGTGTTTACATTGTTAGATTGTTGAACTTCTACTATACTTGCTTGATGTTGTCTTTACTCCTGATCTTCACCACCATTGGAAACTTCAAAGAATAAACAAGCAGCAAAAGCTGACCACAGTACTTGCAGTCTCTTTAATACCACTACACAGTAAAACAACATGGTAATGGTCAGAAATTCTCCAGGCAAGGGATAAGGAGAACAGTCTCAGGGCTCTTTTACACCACCTTAATTTACAACAAATCCATCTTTAAAAACCTGTATGTAACATAATGTTGCACCGTAAAAATGTCTATCTGTGCTGTGTCCATTCCAGATTCAGATGTACCAACTGTCGCGGCTGCTCCATGACTACCACAGGGATCTTTACAGCCACCTGGAGCAGCAGGAGATTGGACCCAGTTTATATGCCACCCCCTGGTTCCTCACTGCCTTTGCTTCACACTTCCCCCTTGGCTTTGTGGCCAGAGTCTTTGGTAAGCTTTGGCAGCTCTTTTATTTCTGTACTTACAGTTGCTTTATTTGGTCACCACACTGTTTGTTCTTCCTGAGAGAAGCCCAGCAGTATTGATGCGGAATAGAAGGAGGATGATGGGGCGTTTACAGGGATGTTAAGTTTACCTCCACTCCCAAGTTAACTTTTTGAATTAGATCTTGAACCCAGAGTTAACAAAGGAAAAAGTGGTGGAGCAAGATGAAATGTAGGAAACTGTGATTGAAAGCCAGGCAGTGGAAATAGGAAGATAAAGTACTGAAAAAGGAATCTAATGAGTTCGGCAGAGAGCGGCGAGGAAGATGGGAGTGGTTTGTGAATTTCAAAAGTGGAGGAGATTTATAATAACAATCAAAGTTTTCTTCAAACCTAAACCACCATAACTTTAGAATACTGTCTCTAATAGTGAGTCATGTACACACAGACACATACAGCATGATCTAAAGTCTTTGTTAGCCAGTTACAGGCTGCTGTTTTCCTTAACTGACCTTTTATCATTTGTGTAAATACCATCACACCCATAGTTGGTCTTTATTCTTCTTGTCTTTGCTTTACTCTCCCTCATTCCTTGGTACTGTCTTCATGCCTAATTTCTTACATGGTTTTCAGTCACTGAACCAGACTCTCTGGCTCCTCGTGCTCATCTGAGCATAAAACCGTGTGTGTGTGTCTGTGTGTGTGTCTGTGTGTGTGTGCGTGTGTGTGCATGTGTGTGTGTGTTACACATACAGGGCATAATCTTTGCACTGTCAAGTCTTTGATACCATGTGTGGGGCTCCACACGTCCGCTCCCATTCCTTAATCTTGTGTATGATCTCATGCGATCCTGCCTAGCCCTTACCACACCCTGATGTATTCAAAGCATACACACACAAACACACACACCTACTCTGACTTTCCAAATTCACCCTGGCCTATATTTATGTTTGCTTAAACGCTTTTTACTGACGTCAAATCATCTTTGCCATAAAGACGCTTGTAAGTCACCAATAAATACAGTAAGCTTTTCTGTCAGCACCTATCATTATTTAATTTACAGTATGTAATTTTCTGTCAGAGCCTTTGCTATCCTCCTGTCTCTTTTGTTTCTTATGTTCTGTTGCAGCAACCTTTGACTCCTTTTTGTCCTCTGTCAGACATGTTATTCTTGCAGGGATCAGAGGTCATCTTCAAGGTGGCTTTGAGCCTGCTGGGGAGCCACAAGCCTCTGATCCTGCAACACGACAACCTGGAGTCTATAGTGGACTTCATCAAGACTACACTGCCCAACCTGGGCCTAGTGCAGATGGAAAAGACAATCAACCAGGTTAGAAAAAGAGCCAGAGTTGGTTTAGAAATGTGTGACAAACACTTGAATCACTAGACCACCTGACTGGAATACAAAACAAAGTGTGTGACTATCTTTGTGTATCCTTATAAACTTGACCCATTTATTTATTTTAATTTTGGGTATTTTTTTTGAGTAAATTGTGATTTACATTACATCATATTATCAGAATTCTGCTGGGCAATAAGCAATAAAAAACAGATGATGGCTGATTTTCCTAATCTAGTCATCACTGAAGGAGGAGTCTGGCATTGCTTGCTATTTTTTTCATATTGTCTACAAATCTCATGAAAACACCAAAACCAACAATGGTTAGTCTGTCTAACTTCTCCAGCCTTTCTGTGATACTCAGACACAAACCCATTTGTTTACTTTGAAAACATAAATGCTTCAAAATGGGTGAAAAATCTATATTTTTATTCTTAAGACAGGCCAAAAAATTTTCTAAAACTGCAGCACACTGCAGTTCTCAACAAATGGTACTCAGCAGTAAATAGTGTATTTTTTAGAGATATTTTCAGTCAAAGATGACATGAATATGAATAATATTGAGGCAACATTGACTGAAATATCTTCAACTTCAGTCTCTACAATGGATGTAGTTCCAAAAAACACTGAAACCCACTGCTACCATAATGCAACTTGATAGCATCATTCATTAAACCCCCATGCCTCCTATATGCTCTTTTCTTTCCAATCCCACATCTCAGCAGGCTGTTAAAAAACATCATCACTCCTTGTGAGAAATGTTTGGTGGAACCTTCCTTTGATACACATTTGGTTTTGCAGTGTGTTATACTGCAGCAGAATGATAACCCATCCATCCATTATTTATACACCGCTTAATCCTTACTAGGGTCGCAGGGGGGCTGGAGCCTATCCCAGCTAACTTAAGGTGAAGGCAGGGGACACCCTGGACAGGTCGCCAGTCTATCACAGGGCTAGATTTAGAGACAGACAACCTAGTACAGTCACATTCACACCTACAGACAGTTTAGAATCACCAATTACCTCAGCATGTTTTTGGACCTTGTGGGAGGAAGCCGGTGAACCCCGACAGAACCACGCTGCACGGGGAGAACATGCAAACTCCAGGCAGAAAGATTCCTGGTGTCCGCACCGGGACGCGAACTGGCCACCTTCTTGTTGTGAGGCAATGGTGCTCACCACTGAGGCACCTTGCAGCTCCAAAATAAACCACAGAACTCTTTTTCATGATGATGAAGGAACAAAACGTGTTTTCACAGTATTTGAAACAGTAATCCGGGACATAGAACTCAACTGTCCCTGTGGGCCCTCTATAGACAAAACTGAGACATTTCGGTGATGTAAACTGATGGAGTCAGTTAGTTAGCTGTAGGCTACCACTTCAGCTAGATCTCTGTTTTTTTCTTTGTTTAATTTGTCTCGTGCATTAAAAAGATGCTGAATTAGCTGTTAGGGCCTGATTATGCACTTTAAAGACCATAATTTAGACAGCTGTGGATACCACGGACACATTTTAAATTATACTACTACTGTTATACTACTTTCTACTCTGATTAGAAACTGCTTGGAGGGTGTGATCCATACATATGCAGTACGCCAGTGTCCACACATTCAGTGCATGCATCCTACTGCCTTGAGCATAGTGGGTGTGTGGATACCATTTTTGGGCCGCATGCAGACATCTGTGAGGACTCTTGCTGACTTTGTTGATGAAATTTATGTCACCTGGACCCTAACAGATCTTTGCAGATGTATAAAGTGTAACACTTGTCTTAGAGGTTACAGTTGGTAACATATCCATGGATATTCAGGCAGTTATCGCAGGGTATCAGTGATACTGAGGAAAACCTAAAAACATGATGACTTTGAGGTAAGTTCTTGACTTTAGAGGAAGGTCTTATTTTGCAATTTCGAGACAGATTTTTGGATGTTTTTTTTTTTGTTTGTTTTTTTTTCTTTTTTAAATTTATTTTCGAAAAGAACAAACACAAATTAACACGTTGACAAAGTTGGTCCACACATGAAAAAGGAGAAGCGCAGCACTCAAACAGTATGAAAATCCATCTAGTGAAACACACACACACAAGTCAAATTTCTGTTATGTCCCGCTTCAAACATGTGTCCAGTTCAGTTACAAATTGTATTTAACTCCAAGATGTTCCAGTGGTCTCTTCCATTTCTGCTGAAAAGTGTGAAGTCTGCCATTGATGTAATGTCCCAATTTTTCAAGAGTCACAACTTCAGATATGAGAGATTTCCATGTAAGAACAGAAGGAGGGTCATCTCCTACCCACTTCACCATAATAGCTTTCCTTGCCAGCATTAATAGTGATTGAATCACCTCCTCGTGTTGTTAAAGAAAGTTGGGGACACCTCCAAGCAAACATAGCAGTGGATCTGCTGACACTTGTCCTATTGCGACACTAATGTTTGCACATATTGCCCTCCAGAATACCTGAATTGTATTGCATTCCCATAGGCAATGCAGTCTAGTAGATTTTGTGATTTTTATTCTTTATGCACTTAAAAATATACTTCTTAGAGATGGGAGTATGACTTTTATTATTATGAAATTATATATTATAGATTACCGGCCACACATTGCTTTTTAAAAACCTGTAGTTTAAAGCAATGTGTTATTTTAAGCTTTGGCTTCAGAGTCAGTAGTTGTAAGTAGATTAAGTCTTTGCAGGTGACTTGTTAACAGTAAAACAAATAAAAAAATGTCAAAAGATGTTTTGTGTAACTGTGCATCACAGACACAAGTGATGTCGCCTCCTGTCAAATCTGTACTTGCATAGGTTAAGTAACTCCTGAGTCAGAGGTCAGATATCCTTTTTTAGCTTCTCTAATGTTGTGTCAGAATGTAAATACCTGAAGTGTTAGTTTTGTGCCACTAAATGTACTGAAGAAACTATTAAACCTCCCTCAGTTCTTTAAACAGATGTTTAAGCTTTTACAACTCGCAGCAGTCAAAAAGAGGCCATGCGAATTCTGTATTATGAAACAAGAAAACGGAGAATAATGTGCTGCTTGACTGACAGTAGCTATCAATGTGAGCCACACCCTGACCTTTACAGCGGTGATGAGAGCAGCTGATGGGTGTGAGTCAAGTCTTTTTTAACCTTTTCCTCATGCGTCAGTGTTTGGAAAACTACTGTATGCCACTACTAACATCAGGCTCACATGTGGAACGACTAATAACTAACTACCTCTAATAAATCATCCTCATTAATGTTAATGCCAAATAGAGACCATTTACTTATACTCTAATGAGGTTGTCAGTTGCCTCAAGATGTCAGGAGATGACAGACGTTTGTGATGAGTCAAGCACGTACAGAGATATTATCAAGGAATGCTACACTTTAGACGGTATGCATTTATCTTACAGCTTGCATGAGTAAGCCAAGGGGTTATTTGCCTGTACTTTCCCTCCAGTGCCACTTTTCCACATCAGGTTATTTACATGTTAACTGTGGTGTGACTCACAGTTTCACCAAAAAAACAAAAAACAAACAGGGAGTGTATGCACATACAACATGTGGGGAGCCTAAAGTGCAACATGGGTCCTGGGAGGGTGAATTTTCTTTTAAGCGAACCTGACGAAAAGATATTTTAAGGGAAATTCCAGTTTCATGCAACTTCTTGTTCCTAGATTTGCCCTTCATCCTCATCAGTAATGATAAGGTAATGCTGTTGCCCGTAAGCAATAAAATGACATTATCAGTAATGATGAGGAAATATTGATAGTGTGGCTTTTTTTAATCTGACTGGACTGCTGGCTTCTTTACAGCCTGTCTTGTTGTCTGACAGCTTGTGTTCACTGCCCTTTAAGGAATTTCTTTGGTGAGAAGACTTTCACTATAACCAACAGCAATGATCTTCAAACTACAGTAATAAGATCTAATGTGTAATAAATCATAATTTACCTTTAACCATTCTCAAGCAAACTGTAAATAAAAAACAGTTAGTTACACAGTTTAACAATTATAAAGTCTAAGGGTGTGTTATAGTACCAGTCAATCAGCAAGTGGACAAACATTACAGCAACAAGAACAAAGTAAATCTACAGAGTGTAAATAAATTAAACCTGCCACTTTAGCCAATCCATATTCCTTTAACTGATGCTATGAAGCATTACAAAAGTGCTCAGATACAGATTATGTCCTCTCATTAGGCTGCAAGAGCTTTAAAATTACAAATTCCTGCTAACTGGGACAGTTTGTTTATTAAAGCACATCACATAGTAGTAGATACTAGCCTTTTTTGTGTTGCTGTAGTTTTCTAACACATTCGTTGTGTTCATTAGGTGTGCGAGATGGATGTTTCCAAGCAGCTCCAGGCCTATGAGGTGGAGTACCATGTGCTGCAGGATGAGCTACTGGACACGCCTCCAACCCTCAACCAGCACCAGCGAGCTGCTCAGCTGGAAAGGACCAATCAGAGCCTCCGACAGCAGAATCTCGATCTGCTGGAGGAGCTGCAGGTACACACACACACTAATAAAGATTAGTCTCTTTCCGTTGTATTTTGGTCTTTCAAACTGTCTTTCTCTGACTACTCCCACCCAGGTGTCCCATGCTCGCGTCTGCAGCCTGGAGAGTCGAGTGGAGGCTTTGGTGCAGTCGGAGGGTCGGCTGAAGGAGCAGGTTTCTGTGCTGGAGGAGGAGAAGCAGCAGCTCGCGAGCACCGTCGCTCACCTCCAGGACCTCCTCACCAGCCTCGGCATACACACCAGCCCTGACGGACACACGGTCCCCCCGCCCTCAGTTGCAGCAGCATCAAAGCTGGAAGGCAGAGAGGGGCTGGAAAACAGGACTGTGGACTCTCTGCTCCACCCGCTGGTTCTTCCAAAGGGTTCATAACCGCATCTTATAATTTTCCAAATGGTAAGTTCGTCCGAAGGAGGAGCCAGGTGTGAAAGGCCCAGGTGGAGAAGGCTGTTATGATGACATCCCACCTACAGAAAGATTTCACAACAAAAGAAGAATGACAGTGGTAGTTGGGCATAGACAGGGGTTAGAAGAGAGCGAAAACTAAAGGATAGCACCCTTTTCCTTCACTCTAGCAACTGTAAATAAACATGTGATTTGACTAATCCCCAAAGAAAGCACTGTCCCACTGGGCCTTTACTTTAAAAACAAACTAATTTGCACCTGTACTTGTATGTTTTCATCTTTGAAAGCACTCCTGTGTTATACCAGTGGGTTTGTTTAAATAGGTGGGATGCAACACAGCCAAAGATTGTTCTTATTAATGTACAACAAGCTCAAAGAACAAAGACTCCGCTCGACAGTATTCAAAAACATGGTAATGATCACTGTTACACGTAACAAATAAGAAATACTCCCAAAGAAAAAATAGTAGGAGACAAGTGAAACCAGAAAGTGAGTTGTAGGGACGGGTGAAGAAAAAACTTCATGACCACAGTGTTTTTTTGTTGTTCTATTATATGACATCCGCTAAAATAATGTTAGATCTTGGATGGTGGTGCTCATATTCAGAGGTCAGAGGTGAACTATTTTCGATTCTTCCTCTACATTTCTAGTCTTCCACAGTTTTGTTTCCTGACACTGTACATTTTAGACTTCATTTAGCTACAGTAGCTCACAGGAAGAGCCACACAATCTATCCAGTCCATTTCACATCCTGTTTTTTCACCTTTGAATACACGTCGATTCATCTGTGTAGATGGGAAGATTTGAAAGGCTAAGCGTTCCCTTTCTAGTGAAGGGGAAGTACAGACTTCTACCGATTGACTACTTATAATTACTGAAAAAGACACTTCAAATGGGAACCCTCTGCTGTTGAGACAATCTGTCACCTATAAATCATTTACTGTATTCAACACACTGAATTCCTTTGACTCGAGCTGCAGCTTGGTGTGTTTCTATGTGACTGTTTGAATGTTGTTGTGTCTGTGTTCCTGATTGCAACAAATCTGTTGATTTACACTGTAAAGATATTTTTGCTTTTACCCCGACTGTCTTTGCACATGTTTTCTGTTTTATTGATTATTACTGTTGTCGTTGTTCTGTACTTTAAAATATATTTCATATTCTTTCAGCACATCTGCAGCCATCTTTCTTTCTGTGTCTCTGTGGGGTTGTCTGCATACAGCATGAGCTCATGAGTCAAGTGTCAGACTGTGAGATTGTATCACAGCGATTGTACCACCTCCTGTCTAAACATGCCAGTCACTTGGAAGGTTACAGGTTTGATACAAGGTTCCAACCATATGGAAATTCACCATACGCAGTATTTACCACACAGATGTGCACTTGTTTCCTGGAACTTCTCCTCAAGTTGGAAGGAAAAACAGGCTTGGACAAGTTGTGACTCTGTTAGTATGCATGTACTGTCTATGGGGATGCACAGCAGAAACAGCACCAACAAAGAACCTAAACACATAAAAAACAGAATTTAGGTTGAAAAGAATTTAAAATTTTTACAAATAAAAATCACATTTCCTTTGTGGATCTAAAGTTTTTCACATCTTTTGATTCTATCTTGTTAATTTCCATGTGCATTTTTGCTCTTGTTTTTTTTCCGTGTGATTTTGCAGTTGTTTTTTTTTAGTATTTCCTCGAAGTCCTGCAGAAGGTACCAGGAGTATACAATTTCACAAAGTTCCCAGAAAGATATTTTTCTCTTCACATTCCTGAAGCTGCTTGAGATCCTCGGAAAGCACCTTTTAATCAACCAAGTGGTCATGTTGGAGACGCATATTTGTCAGGATGTCATAACAATGAAGACCATTACGTGTGTGTGTGTGTATAAAAAATAGATATCATTTTGCAGTTGATTTACAATAACTTGACATAAAGGTACATTTATTAATATTTTCAATCATCAAAGGATTACCCGGCTGCATTTATACAAAAAAGGCCACTCCAGGTGAATGAGCAGCAGAAAATTATCACCTGCAGTTTCTTTCTTTAGGAGTTTATAGTACTTTTTCCTTATTGTTTTATAGCCTGCTGCTATAAAAGCAAAACAATGCTTCACTCACCTGCATTGTTTCCACATGCAAACAGCTGTTTTCAGTGAAAAGGCTATAAACCCCCCCACTGTACTCAACCTGCTCAGCACCAAACATCAGACAGACAACATAGTGGAGCATTTATAAGCTAAAGATATTTGCCTCAGGAGGAGACTTAAACACAGTTTAAAGAGAGTGAAACCAGGACTAAGGTGATATGTCAGTGTCGGTGGACCGAGTGACTCAAAAAATACTTTGTTGTTAAAGAAAGAAAACATGTTAAACCAGAAAAGCAAATTATCTGCCAGTCAAACTAAACAAAGACATAGTTTCCCTTCAAAACAACAAACATTTTGTCTCTATGTCTGGACCTATGACCGTCTTCATTTCTTTTGTACACTGCAGTACAGTGGAGTAGAAGTAGCATTAAAAAAATATTAGTTTTTAGCCTTGTTTCTGATGACAACGGCTGAAGTTTTAGTCTTAAACACATCCGACTCACCAAATACTACATATTTCCTGTAAGTCTAGTGTTGTTGTGAAATAATGTGAACATGCCAAAAAAATAACCCCACAGATATGGATGAATTTGGGGCACAGCTACTGACTCTGAGCCAGACCCAGATTCAAACATGCTGCTCTGTAAATGACCTCTGAACCGCCCTGTGAGGCTAAAAACTTTCCCTCAGGGCTCGACGAAGGAGTCACATTGTTACTGACATAATACCATAATTAATCCTGTCAGTGACCTGCTCATGCAGCTCATGTCTTGATCCAAACCAAACACTGCAGCTGAATGGAGATTTCCATGAAGCTGCAACAAAGAGAGTCAAGTTCTTTGCATAACATCCAGAAGCCTGACACAACTAATGAGTGATTAACATGGCTGCTCCATATGTGGCCACGCCCAACGGACCACCAAAACCAGCCACGCTGAGGCTTGACGCAGCACTTCTATTATGATGTCTTAGTTACTTTTGTTTTCTCATGATCATGCCACGTTGTAATAGAATAGAATAGAATAGAATAGAATAGAATAGAATAGAAAAATACTTTATTTATCCCAGGCCTGGGAAATTACTGCTAAGACTTTGTGTGTCTGTGCGCACCTGCAGTGTCAGAGCAGGTTGAAAAGGTCATAACTGTGCTGTCTGTTTGGGAGATATGGTTCCTCGCGTGTTTGTGGTTGAAACTTGGCCTCTGTGGACAGATTTTCTTAATGCTCTGGTTGAGTGAACGTAGAGGGAGCAGAATCAGTCGGCATCCTGAGTACTGCCTACGCTGTGTGTAAACAGTGAGCTATGTGTGGACTGTGTGTGTGTGTGTGTGCGTGTGTGTGCGTGCTTTCTGCCAGGACGAGCAGGCTGCCAGGGGTTGTGCCGTTGGCTGGAGTTTTGTTTTATTTGACTTGGCATCTGTTTACCCCTCCACACTCCACCTCGGCCCTGCCCTGGGCTCAGCTCCACCTCATGCCTGTATCCTCCTAGAAACCTGACTTCAACACGCTCAGAAAGACAAGAATCAAACTAAGGAATATAATTGGTAATTACAGATCAATTATAAATAAGCAGGAGGACCTAAATGAATTACCAGAAAGCTATAGGACTCACCCTCTGGTGACCTTGAATGTCTGTACAAAATATCATTACAATCCATCTTATAGCTCTGAATATATGTATACTGAACAAAAACATTGATACAACATCCAATATCTTATTCAATTCTTCTGATTCATTTTAACATGACGTATGTATTGTTCCAACAAATGGCATCTTTTGTTATCCAACTCTTCCTGAAAGACTTGTTGACGTTGTTAGATATTTTAGAGCACAGGATCATGCTGTCAGACACCTCCATCCATGTGGCACATTATCTGTTGTGCCATGTTGTCTTAAAGTGATTTCTACCTGACGTACCAGCATCCAGCATGCCAGCAGCCTTTCGTAATCTTTTTGTTATCTGTGGCATCATGCCATTTGAATAAAGCTTTATTTTAAGATGTCCTTTTATAATGACTGTTCAAAGGAGTGTCTGTGTACAATCTGTAAAGTCACACCTGACTTGTGTGTCGATTAGCTCAGCAGTAGAGAATGTGTTACCGGCTGAAACTTTCGAAACATGTTTGTTCTCCTAAAATGCATTACGACTGATGTTTGAACAATTAGAATTAAGTCATTCAAGTTAATGGTAAAAGAATAATAATTTAATTCAAGAGGAATTAATAGAGGGCTGCAAGGTAGCGTAGTTGGTAGCACTGTTGCCTCACAGCAAGAAGGTCGCTGATTCGCATCCCGATGTGGACACCTGGAATCTTTCTGCGTGGAGTTTGCATGTTCTTCCCGTGCAGTGTGGGTTCTCTCTGGGTTCCCCAACTTCCTCCCACAGTCCAGAAACATGTTGAGGTTAATTGGTGATTCTAAATTGTCCGTAGGTGTGAATGTGAGTGTGTTTGGTTGTCTGTCTCTAAGTGTGGCCCTGTGATGGACTGGTGACCTGTCCAGGGTGTCCCCTGCCTTCACCCTGAGTCAGCTGGGATAGGCTCCAGCCCCCCCACGACCCTAGTGAGGATTAAGCGGTGTATAGATAATGAATGGATGGATGGAATTAGTAGACATATTTGCACTATGTATAGGTGGATGTAAGTCTACAGTATATATCATTTTTACAGTGATGCAGTGAGTTAAAAATTACATTTATTGTCCTTAAAGTGTGTGGATGATTTTAAGTTTTTAAAAAATTAATTATATGGCTTTGTAATATGTGGAATTAGGTTGCTGTGATCATTGCTTCCCAGTAACAGTGCACCTTTAATTACTTTGATTCTTGTCTGGGTTTTTTTCTCTCTTATTTCGGATAAATTGTACACAATATTTTTGTTGAGCATGAGTTCAAGTAAACAGTTCAACTTTATCAAGTGAACTTTAATGTGGCTTATCAGGAGAGGCATTGTCAGAGGGTCAAGCTGCTGACTCTGTTAACTGGAACCTACAGGCTAAATTTATCCCTTTTCTAATCAGAGCAATCGGAATAGGATTTTTAACTTTAACTCTAATTCAGAAAAACCCATTTGCATGCTGCATTTATATTTTTGCTCAGAGGCTCGTCCAAGTGGTGGACACACACTTCCATCCTCGGAGCCAGTATCATGACTAAGTATCCAGCTGTGGTTTCTATTTTATCTGCTCACCTTTGCACACCTAGGCATATCAAACTTCACACTTTTATGTGGCGCATAAAGCAATTCATGTGGTTTATAATCATCAACGATGCTCTGTTTAAAGACCGGTAACAGCACAAGGCAGTGAGATGAAGGTGCACTGGTCAGTACAAAAGGTCAAACAGCATCTGTAACAGCTCATAAAACACTGTGGCAGCACTAAATGTCGATAAGCAGCTACTTTACCTGTAGCACCTGCATAATTCAGACTGATGAGGGCTGTAAAGTCAGCTCCTGATTAAACTGGATCTGTTGACACTGGACCTTTCATTGTACTTTCAGCCCGATGTCAAGCTTGGTTGTTAAATCTTCCTCTGAATTTTTTTTTTGGTCGCAGTAGCAGCAGTGATTAGACTTACAACAAGGTCACAAAAGCTTAACCTGTGAGCTGGCTTATCTATGATGGTTAAAAGCTCTACTACACAGGAAATAAGGCACCTTATATTGCATAAGTAAGGACAGAAATAGAAGAGGAAACAGAAGAAGTGTCTTTTGTGCCTCTTCAATGTTTTACAAAAAGTGAAGCCGTCTTTTGTTATTTTTTCCCTTTGTTTTTATCTGAAATTAAGACAATTTAGCATTATAAGGTAGTTTGACAGACAATATTAGAGCCTCTTTGGGACACCTCCCCACCTCTGAAAGGTCCACATGTTTCAGTCCACTGCTGTTGTGAGTTGAAATGAATGAACATATCCAAAGTCGCTTTGGACGCTGTTGAGACACTGTCGAACCTTCTTCACCAGGGTGTTGATGTGACAGGACCAGGTCAGGTCCTGCGTGACACCCAGGTACTTGAAGCCCTCCACTCACTCCACCTCTGTCCCTCCGATCCTGAGTGGGTGGTATGCCCTCTGCTGCTTCTTGCTGTAGTCCACAATCAGCTCTTTAGTCTTGCTGACGTTCAGGACGAGGCTGTTGTCTCTGCACCAGTCCTCCAGGTGGGTGATCTCCATTAAATAGCCGTCCTCATTGTTGTTGGAAATCAGACCCACCACTGCTGTGTCATCAGCAAACTTAATGATGGTGTTAGAGTCTGATGTGGACAGGCAGTTGTGATGTTGGAGTGATTTAGGAATGTGTGTTCAAACCAGCAACCAATTCTGAAGAAGAATAATGACACAAAAGAGCTCAAACCTGCAAGTTATTAGGTTTGGTTATTTAAAATTTTTTACATATGAAATCTTGGAAGTCTGAATTCATGTTTTTGAGAGTGTCACTCGTACACTGCAGG